CACTTCGGTTTTTTTTTTCTCACTCGAAATAGTAATAGAGATAGATTTTATATTAGTTCACCTTTACTTGGGGTATGTTTAGTAGCATGGGATCCACCTACCATATTTATACTATTATCAAATAAAAATATAACTAACTTCATGGGATCAACTCTCCTAAATAATATTGTTCGATCTTCACAAATATCTTACCACTCACCAGCAGGCCTTGACTCAAAGCACAATGTGCTTAAGTCAAGATACAATTCTCCTCAAAGAACAACACCCCCCACAGGGCCTTACCCTCTCTTCACTCACCACCTAGGTTACCTTAAGGCCTGATGGAGAGAGATGACCTTTAGTTTAATTTTTTAGTTTGTAAGTTGCCGTAGAAGAGTGTGTATGATGAAACTTTGATTCTTCCCTTTGAGACACACAATCATTTTACTGTAGAGAGTTAATAAGATTTTCTTCTTGAGTTTGTGTGAGTGATATAACTGAATATTTCTTCGTTTAGTGTTAACTTTTTTAATTTTCAACTTGTTCTTTTTATACTTCAATAGATTCATTTCTTTTTGGTGTTTGAAAAATTGGTTATATTAATTTGAATAGCTTTTCATTCCTCTACTAACATTTTGGTGACCATCTATTTTTTACTTCCAAGCTTTTTTTTTTTGGTGATAGTTGTCCACAATATCTTGTTTGGAGATTCACAATTGATTGATAAACACTTCTTCTCTTAAGGTCTTACCCAAAAGAGATGCTTTGGCTTGTCTTTAGCCCATGTCTTTTATTGATGAATTATTATTTAAAATTTATACTTTTAACCTTCAGTTATACTTCTACTCAAATCTTTCAACTAGTATGTCATCTTTGCTATTGTATTTGAAAATTCTTAAGTGATCAACATAAATCTTTATCTTCAGGGTTGAGATAAGATAATGCCATTAAGCTCGTCGTTTAGTTCACGAATTTTGATGACGTGTTATCATCTAGAGTGTGCGAGGCTGACCTTGAGTTTTTATTTCCTTCAAAATATACAAGTCTCTCACATATGATCTTTGAAGCTTTTATCTAGAAATTCATACTACTTCAATGGATGATCTTGTTCTTTATATTAGGGTGAAATTTGATTATTTATATTTTGTCATTTTCTCCACATAAGACTCTAACATGTGATTGTACAGGTTACGTGGAAATGACTTCTTCATCTCTTTCTTTGCTTCATGTGGAAGTTCTAACTCAGATATCATCTGGGTCATGGGTTTGCATCTTTTTTCAGTCACTGATCATATATTTTTACTATAATTATATAACTAAATTTTCAAGTTATTGTTAGAGTGTTATTGATTTCAAAATTTTCCCATAGATTTAAATATTTTGGACATAGTTTTTCTGCTTCTGTGAAGCTTGTTTTCTAAGTTTAAATCTAATCTTATATATGTCATTATGTGTTTTTAATTTTTAGTCATTTTCTGCCTTCATACTTATGTCTTCATATTACTCAAGTACATCATTTGAATCCCACTAATGACTTTGATTTTCCATAATATATGAGAAACTTTTGTCACATGTGTTGACATTTTGTTCTACACTTATCCTTCAAGATTCTTTTATTATATTATTCAAATATAGAGATATATCTCAAGGGCGTAACTCCTTGTATTTATTGTTAGCCATAGGATCGCATCGAACATCATCAATATGTGTAATTTGAATATTTGTCAATAATACTTATCTTATGATGAAAATAATCATGATGTGTATATATGATTCCATGAATTATGCTATAACTAATTCAAGAATAATTTAAATATAAAATTTCCAATGTATGTGTCAAAACCTACTGTATGTGTCAAAATTGAGGGCACCTATAAGACCTAGATAATTTTAAAAAGATCCTAGACATGAAAATTCGAAGGGACATATGCACACAAAATTATGACTGACACAAAAAAAAATTATATTGAAAAAGTTTTGACAAAATTCAACATGTCATAAGCTAAACCAATGAGTACACCTTTAGCTCAACACTTTAAATTATCTTTGCAGCAAAGCCCCAAATTTGAGGATGAACATGAAAAAATAGTGAAGACACCAAATGCAAATGCAATTAGATGTCTAATATATGTAATGATTTGCACTAGACCGGATCCATCACAAGATGTTAGCATCATTCGTAGATATATGATGTTATCTTAGAGACACATCATATTTTGATTTTTTATTTCAACAGAGCAAATATAAAGTTCTTATGCAAGAGACTTCAGTAAGAGGAGATCTACTACAAGGTATATTTCCTCTCTAGGTGGAGGTGCCATTTGTTGGAAAGTAATGCTCCAAGATATTTCTGCACTTTCCCCTACTGAAACTAAGTATATTGCTGCAGTGGAGGCAGCAAAGGAAGCCTTCTAGATGAAGGGTTTGGTGAAATAACTTGCCATCAATCAATTTGTCATATATCTACATTACAATAGTTAAAGTGCCATATGCCTTGCGAAGGATCCAGTGTATCATTCCATGAGTAAACACATTGACAGAAATTACGCAGATTTATTGAAGAATGAGTTATTCAACTTGTGAAGGTTTCTACACAATACAATGTTGCTGATATGAGGACCGAGCCCTTATCTACAGCCAAATCTAATCACTTCATGTAATTGGCTAATCTTTGCCTAAGATGAAGTGTGGAGACTTCTACATGAATATACTTCTGTTAAACATTTTTTTAATTTTTTTTGCTGCAGCTAAGATTTTGGGTGAGTTAAAGGTAGAGAATGTTATTTTTGACTGCCTAAAATCGTGTAAAGGGCCATCAAACGGCCCAAATAACTGCAAAAAGGTAAAGTACCCTTTTCTCCCCTTTTTAGGGGAAGTAAGAGCTGTGGGAAAGTGTGTGTTAGGACATAGAGAATCATTTCGTAATCAAGGGTTTCTAAAGCTTCGTGGAGAAGGAAAACTACTTCAGGTGGAGTTCCAGGGCTCGAAAAAGAGAGGAAGAACCATGCCTTTCTACTCTTTCTTATTGCTGCTCCGCTAGTGCTAAGGTGCTTTGTCTTCAAGCTACTGGAAGGAGGTTCAAGAGAATCATCTCCGAACCATAGTACTTTTCATCACCTGTTTGTCTTCTGTTTAAGGTGATTTGAATAAGTTTTTTATCATTATGTGCTGAAATATTGAGTGCTTGATTTCTTTGAAGATTAGAAGGAATATGGAAGGCATCAGTCCGCTGCACTTATGAAATTAGATATACTTACAGCGTGATATGATCTTCTGCATAACCAAAAATATATATTTCGCATCCCAGGTCTGTTTTCAGATTTCTTGGATCATTTAAACTCTTACTTATTTTCAGAACTCTACATCAACCTCGACCTTGGTTCTCGTGACCCCCTGGCACCGTCCAATGGGGTCAAAGCAGACTTACGGCATAGTGTCTTCCGGTGTGCACGAGCTCACCGGTAGAAAGACCGAAGCTTCCCACACTCAGTCACGCACGTACGCCGTGTTCTACTGCAAGACCACGCGCACCACCAAGCCCAGCGTTTTTCTCTCGCAGAGGAGGACGGGTCGGAGGTGTAGCCGCTGTGGTGTGCCACTCAGACACATCATACTGGAACCCCGAGGACATCGCCTTCCAGATGCTTTAGGTGAGCTCCGGGACGGTCCCCGTATGTTCTTCCAGCCACAGAACCACCCCGTCTGGTCCTCTCGCCACTAGACCCCGCGTGTCAAAGGCGAAGTATCAATCCGGGTCGGCCTTCTCCAGTCATCCAAGGCGATTAAGAATGCAATTTGTGTTTTCGCTAACGACGAGTGTATTTCTATTTCTAATCAAGAGACCACTATGGTGGCTTTTTTGAATTAAATCAGTCACCGAATCCTGGTGTAAAAGGGGACGCAGAATGTGTCCCCTTTTGCACGAGAGATGGAATAAAAGATTCGATAAATGGGATTCATGTAGACAAGGGGATACCAGTTCCCCCATAAGAGAAGAGAGTGCAGGAAGACAGTCGATTTACGAGAGTGCAGAAGAACGGTAGACAAGTCGAAAGGGCAGAGTCAGCACTTCCAAGACTGCCTTTGACATCACACGGATACGAAGCTGTGGCACTCTACCATTCATTTTTCGACATAGCCGCAAATTAAATGCTACAATTAAGTCTTGTGAAAGATTTGATTTTTGACAGTCGACGCCAGGCTGCGTACAACCGTTGCAATGCCGTCTTTTGCAAACCTTATCTTCCCCTGGGGATTATTTTAAATCAGGGTCTTAGTCAAGCGTTTAATCTCCGTTTGTAGAGAAGCTCGACGTCACTTCGGCTATCGCAGGGTGTGTCCCGGCAGTGCCGGCATCCGCTGCATCGACCCCACTGTCAGTGAAACGGCTGTTAGTGACGAGGGGTTTAAACGGACGTGCAGCCTGAAAACACTGTCCATAAGACGTGGTTTTGTATACAGAAGGTGATCAGTTAAAACATCACCAGTACACGACGGTCTCCGATGATCTTTAACAAATAGTTGGTGAGAAAAAGCTAACGAGGCTTCTCTTTCTCAAGTTAGAAACGAAAGACCCATTGATTAAACCCGAGACTGTCGTCACAACATGTTAAGAAAGGTCATGCACGTAATGAAAATCCTATCCATTAAGCTCAATTCTTTTCCAGTTCTACGTACTCGTAATCTACGGGTCATCCACCAGTCAGTATGATACCTTTGAGTGGCCTTGAATCGTGACGGCCCACGAGAACTGCCGCGTGGTTTTATCGCTACCTTCCACTCAGATCCGGTCATACATGACTCTGCTTCATTTCCTCCCGCGAAAGGGCACAACAGGTCCACGAGCTGTCGCCCTCCCGCCTCACCATCATGCAAGGAGAGACGGTGATGTGCCGCGTGGGTCTACAGGTATCAAATTAGGATGGAAAGGCTATGATCTTAAAATAAACGAGGATTTCGAGTCCCAATCACGGCCATTGTTTAATGCTCGCAAGCAAGTGGTACTTTATTCCGATTGATTCTTACTTGCTGGTCCACAGCGTCCGTGAATATTCCTGCAGGCGCTCATGGTGTCTAACAATGAAAAGGAGGTCGTGATACGGTCTACGTCTAAGTACATCTCACCACACGCGTCTCAACAGTAAGAAGAAATAAGAAGAAAAGTTTTATCACCGACAAAACAGAGGAGATTGTTACAAAGACTAAACTGAAGGCGTGTTCCTCCTGAACAGCATCTCTCCGCAACCTCTAACAAATCGTAGAGCAAGTCGATTGTATGCCGTTCGTACACGGGCCGACAGCATCCTGAAGACGAATACGACTAAGGCGCAGAGAGCAGTTGGGAGAATGCATATATCGTCCGGCCGCGGTCGGTGAGACTAAGACAACATGAACAATGAGGGGACCACGAGCACTTCCCCGGGGATTCTCCGGGGATTCCATCTAATCCACCAGAAAGGGACTCACCTCCTCTGACTAAATACCCGCAGGGAGGATGCACTCCGCGACGGCGATACATCCACTGCACCTCCTTAGCGACCCGGCGGCAGCAATAAATGTCGGAATATGAGATAGTCCAACAGTACTGGAGTCATCTGGATAATTGTGTATATGCTCTTACTGCATTGTATTTTTCTCCCCTGTTTTTTCTTCAGTATCCTATCCACATCGCTAGAACCAGTATACATAGTTGTGTCCGATCTCGATTTTAATAATAACCTTAATTTCGCCTTTCGCTTTCTCTCTCCTCTCCCGCGAGCCAACGGCTCTCTCGCCGCCGCCGCCGCCGTATCCTTCGGCGACCAGCCATCCTGGTGGGTTTGACAATCAATAATGCCGGGGAGGGCCGGAGGACAGTAGGCGTTGATGAATGAATTTTCGCCCAACCAGTGGCCGTCAAATCATTGTTCAGGCCAGCCAGTCGGCGAAAAGAGTCCCTATAAATTCATCCAGTAATCCACACCCTAAGCCCAAGCAAGCTTCACTCCAGTGCTTCCTCCTCTCCGTGAGGTCTTCCTGCTGTGATCTCCGTCCCTCCCCATGGCTCGCTCTCTTTTCGCACTTCTCTTCATCGCGGTGAGTTGGAGCTCTCTACGTCTCACCACTTCTCGGTCGATAACCCGCCGGCGCGGTTTGAAGTATTCTCTCCGATCCTGGTGCAGGTCGCGGTAGCAGCAGCATCAGCCGCGAATTTAGCTCCCCAGAACTACTGGGAAACCGTGTTGCCTAACACTCCCATCCCCAGCGCGCTACGCCAGCTACTGCCGGCAGGTTTTCCTCTCTCTCCACCTCGCTCATTGCTAAAAGTGGTCTGGTCACAGAGTCCCTCGTCGTCTGACTGTTTTCCATTCCGCGTCCGCAGATGCGAAGGCCGGCGTGGACTCCAGCCTCTTCGGCGTCGGGGTGACCGTGGGAACGTCCCCACCGACTGGTGTCTTCGTCGGAGTGTTAGGCTTCAACTACGCGTACGCCGCCACCGACACGCAGGTCCACGACAACGCAGACGTGGCTCTCTTCTTCCAGGAGAAGGACCTCGTCCCAGGGTCCAAGATGAACCTGCACTTCACCAGGACCGCGTCCAACTCCGCCTTCCTGCCCCGCTCGGTCGCCAACTCCATTCCCTTCTCCTCCGCCAAGATGTCCGACATACTGAGCCTCCTCTCCGTCGAACCCCACTCAGAGAAAGCGGCGGCCATTGAGAAGACCCTGCACAGGTGCGAGGAGCCGGCCGTGGCGGGCGAGACCAGCTTCTGCGCCACCTCACTGGAATCCATGGTCGACTTCACCACCGCCAGCCTCGGCTCTCGCGACCTCGTGGCGCTGTCCACTGAGGTCAGCAAGGCGGGCTCGCCGAAGCAGACTTACGTCATAGCGCCCTCCGGCGTGCAGAAGCTCGCCGGCGGCAAGGCCGTAGCCTGCCACGCTCAGTCGTACGCGTACGCCGTGTTCTACTGCCACGCCACGCGCGCCACCAAATCCTACGTGGTGTCTCTGGCGGGGAAGGACGGGACCCTGGTGGAGGCTGTGGTGGTGTGCCACACCGACACGTCCAGCTGGAACCCCAAGCACATCGCCTTCCAGCTGCTGAAGGTGAGCCCGGGGACCCCGGTGTGCCACTTCCTCCCGCAGGACCACGTCGTCTGGACCCGTCGCACCTAGAGCCCGCACGTCCAGGACGCCGCACCGGTGTCGTTTTGGAATACACTAGTCTCATATAGATAAGAGTTGTTTCTAGGTCAGGCTCCGATCATTCGGGAGAAATATCAAGGTTGCAATTGGTTGTTCTTTTCAAACGTAGCGCGCAGGATTAATCGCTATTTCGTTCAATGAGGGTTTCACGGCCACGTATCCTTCTCTCGCTGGAAGTAATGTTTTAATTCTTAAAATGACAAGCGAACAAAATGGATACCCCGCATACAAGAAATTACCTCCCACACTCGACAGCTCTCCGTCACTTGCTCATCTGACTTACGTTACCCGCCGCGGATTCTTAATCGTCGCACCAGGCCGATCCCTAAGCTCCCTCACCCTTTCCCCCAACGCCGCTGATCTCGCGTCTCTTTCCCCTCTCACTTATCCTCCCAGGATTCGACGGTGAACGGGATGGAATAGGCACCAGCCGACTCACAGAAATATTACTGTCGCGCCGGTCCGCTCGTCGGAGATCATGAACTTCCAGACTAGTCCGTTGAAGTCACCTTCCTTGCCTTTTTTTAATTATTTATCTGAGAAGAATACCGAGTGTTCCACGGTTTTTTTCACGAAAACGAACCCGGATTTTCACGGTTGCCCCCAATGATGCAAAATAGAGGGAAGATAAAGCATCATAAATCAAGGTAAACCGGTCGTCCGCAGCACCTGATTTTTTTCGCCGAACCACCCTTTAATAAGGAACCTATTGACCGAAAATCGATACGTCAGATCAATCGTTTTTCTTAATGGCTTTGCCGATTGCGTTATTTATTTCGAGGGCTGAGCATTCATTTTCACTGGAAATATCCCCACGTCCATGGGCCATATTATAACGTAGCCGTTTCTCTAATTGCCAAAGGAATAGTAACGTGCCGCTTGTTGTCTGCTATATTTTTTCCGGTTGGGCACAGTAAAATCCAATGTGAATAATATAATCATAATGCAAAGTGTGTATGCCTTTTTAAGTTTGTTAGTGAGAATTTATGTTTCATGCTCCTGGTCAAGGTGTTGACCAAAATCACTGTTGAGATTTCTGCGGCGCTCTCATCCTTGGCCTGTTGTTTCTTTGTTAATTTTTTTATTTTTTGCATTTCACTTGAAGAATTATTTGTTTGCCAGAATTTTTACTATAATTGCTACCTGGAGACATTCAACTGCCTTTTGCCTTTTGGAATAATGTAAGTTTAAGGTCACTGTATAACAATGGTGGCTGTCAACACTTTTCCACAAAAATCAACGGTATCGGGTTAGAAAAATTGGTGGTCAGTCTTACACGTACACATCCACATGTGAGACGTATAAAACGGTCAATCCCCAAATAAACAGTTGGAGGAATGAAGGACAAAGAGAACAAGACGTATCACGCGCGGTGAGGACATATGTAAAAACCTATATTACGGGAAAAAACATGAGATGAAAAGAAAAACCCTTCCGGCAAGGGAACACTAAGTTCGCGATAGATCCAGCGAGACACTATCCAGTCCGTGAGAGAGTGACAGGAGTTTTAAAGATGGCCAGCCTCAACTGCCCACCCTGCCACGGCGCGGATGTACGCGACTGCGGCAGCATCTCTACAGCACTCACCACCGAAGGGGCGCAGCGGAAGCATTCAAATCCGTGGAAGAGGGAGAAGTTGAACAATCACATCATCACCTTGCCAAAGGGCAACTGCGGGGGGATGGATGTGGTCCATCACTGGGTGGCGCCATCAGGAGAACAAGAGCAGAAATAAACAGCAGGTTTAAGGCGTGCAGTGGCTGAGTTTTCGGAAAATAGTTAATTGAAAGGTCACTAAAAGATATGGCGAACAAGGAATTCTCCACTTAATCTGATTGATACAGCACCTGCCAGTCGATAATTCAGTTCATGCCCTGCACTGGAGTCCTCTGGTGGCTTGGCAAAGGTAGCCAGGGAGCCCAGTCCTAAGTACGTCACTCTCTTTCGCCGGGTTCTCCCCACCGCTGACTCGGCATACCCGTCCTCAGGACCTCACTCCGTCAACTGCACCACTCCCGGCCTCCGCTCTCGCGACCCCCTGGCGCCGTCCGAGGAGGTCGGCAAGTCGGACTCGCCGAAGCAGTGTTACGCCATAGCGCCTTCCGGCGTGCAGGAGCACGCCGGTAGAAAGGCCGAAGCCTGCCACGCTCAGTCACCCGCGTACTCCGTTTTCTACTCCCAGGCCACGTGTGCCATCAAGCCCTACATGTGTCTCTGGCGGAGGACGCGACGGAGGTGTAGGCCGCTCTGGTGTGCCACTCGGACACACCATACTGGAACCCCGAGGACATGGCCTTTCTGCTACTTTAGGTGAGCTCCGGGACGGTCCCCGTGTGCCTCTTCCGGCGGCAGGACCACGCCGTCTGGCCCTGTCGCAACCGGAACCCCCGTGTCAAACGAGAAGTGCATTTCTGTTTCTAATCAAGAAACTACTATCGTTACGTTAAACTTGCTTTTTTAATTTAATCAGTCACCAAATCCTGGTGGAAATTTTTCGTACTCCCTAGGGGTGGACGCAGAATGTGTCCCCTTCTGCACGAGAGATCGAATATGCCGGTATATCGTAATAAGATTCGATAAATGGGATTAACGTAGAAAAGGGGAAACCAGCTCCCCCTGAAGAGAAGAGAGCAGGAGGAGTGTCGAATTACGTGTGTGGAGCAGAAGAACGGTCGACAAGTCGAAGGGAGGGGTCAGCACGTCCAAGACTGCGTTTGACATCACACGGATACGAAGCTATGTCACTCTACCATTCATTTTTCGACACAGCCGGAAATTAAATCGTGCAATTAAGTCGTGTGAACGATTTCATTTTTGACAGTCGACGCCAGGCTGCGGACAACCGTTGCAATCCTGTCTTTTACTCGCATTATCTTCCTGTGCGGATTATTTTAAATCAGGGTCTTAATCAAGCGTTTGCTCTCCTCTGTTGGAAGAGAAGCTCGACGTCACTCCGGTTCAATCGGAGGGTGCGTCCCGGCAGCGCCGGCATCCTCTGGATCGTCCACACTGTCAGTGAAACGGTTGTTAGTGACGCGGGGTTTAAACGGATGTGCAGCCTGAAAACATACTCTGTCCATAAGACGTGGTTTTGTATACCAAAGATGATCTGTAAAAACATCACCAGTACACGACGATCTCCGATAATCCTTAGCAAATAGTTGGTGAGAAAATGCGAACGAGTCTTCTCTTTGTCGAGTTGGAAATAAGACCCAATGATGAAACCCAAGACTGTTGTTACAACATGCTAAGAAAGGTCATGCACGTAATGAAAATCCTATCCATTAAGCTCAATTCTTTTCCGATTCTACGCACTCGTAATCTGCGGGTCACCATCCACCAGTCAGTATGATACCTTTGAGTGGCCTTGAATCGTGACGGCCCACAAGAACTGTCGCGTGGCTTTATCGCTACCTTCAACTCAGATCTGGTCATACATGACTCTGCCTCATTTCCTCCCGCGAAAGGGCACACCAGGTCCACGAGCTGTCGCCCTCCCGCCCCACCATCATGCAAGGAAAGAGGGTGATATGCCGCATGCGTCTATGCTGGTATCAGATTAGGATGGAAAGGCTATGATCTTAAAATAAATGAGGATTTCGAGTCCCAATCACGGCCATCGTCTAATGCTCCCAGGCAAGTGGTGCTTCATTCCGATTGATTCTTACTTGCTGGTCCACAGCGTGCTTGAATATACCTGTTGGCGCTTATGGTCTCTAACAATGAAAAAGAGATTTTGATACGGTCTTCGTCTAAGTACATCTCACCACACGCGTCTCAGCCGTAAGAAGAAATAAGATAAAAAGTCTTATCACCGACAACACACAGAAGATTGTCACGAAAATTCATCCAACTGTTTCGTCACAAAAGCTAAACTGAAGACGTGTTCTCCGAGAAGAACATCTCTTCGCAACCCCTAGCAAATCGTAGAGCAAGTCGATTGTATGCCCGTACGTACACGGGTCGACAGCATCCCGAAGACGACATATACCACTAGGGTGCACAGAGCAGTTGGGAGAATGCATATCTCGTCCGGCCGCGGTCGGTGAGGCTAGGACAACAGGAACAACGAGGGGGACACGGGGACTTCCCCCGGGATCCTCCGGGGATTCCTTATCCTCATCCACCAGAAAGGGACTCACCTCCTCTGACTAAACATCCGCGGGGAGGATGCACACGGCGTCGGCGATACATCCACTGCACCTCCTTAGCGAGCCGGCGGCAGCAATAAATGTCGGAATATGAGATATTGCAGCAATACCGGCTGGTTAATTGCGTAAATGCTCTTACTGCATTGTATTTTTCTCCCCTTTTTTTCCTTCAGTATCCTATCCACATCGCTAGAACTAGTATACATAGTTGTGTCCGATTTCGATTTTAATAATAACTTTAATTTCGCCTTTCGCTTTCTCTCTCCTCTCCCGCGAGCCAACGGCTCTCTCGCCGCCGCCGCCGCCGTATCCTTCGGCGACCAGCCATCCTGGCGGGTTTGACAATCAATAATGCCGGGGAGGGCCGGAGGACAGTAGGCGTTGATGAATGAATTTTCGCCCAACCAGTGGCCGTCAAATCATTGTTCAGGCCAGCCAGTCGGCGAAAAGAGTCCCTATAAATTCATCCAGTAATCCACACCCTAAGCCCAAGCAAGCTTCACTCCAGTGCTTCCTCCTCTCCGTGAGGTCTTCCTGCTGTGATCTCCGTCCCTCCCCATGGCTCGCTCTCTTTTCGCACTTCTCTTCATCGCGGTGAGTTGGAGCTCTCTACGTCTCACCACTTCTCGGTCGATAACCCGCCGGCGCGGTTTGAAGTATTCTCTCCGATCCTGGTGCAGGTCGCGGTAGCAGCAGCATCAGCCGCGAATTTAGCTCCCCAGAACTACTGGGAAACCGTGTTGCCTAACACTCCCATCCCCAGCGCGCTACGCCAGCTACTGCCGGCAGGTTTTCCTCTCTCTCCACCTCGCTCATTGC